GCAATTGGATCCCATATTGAGCCACGAACGCCTTGACCTTTGTTCCCATGAATGCGGTACCTTGATCAGTAGTGATCGTCTTAAGGATGCCGAATCTATGAATAATATTTGTTTTAATGAAGCGTATGATATGGCTCTGCTGCACTTTGGTGAGTGGTATAGCCTCCGCCCACTTTGTAAAGTAGTCGGTGGCTACAAGAATAAACGAATGTCCTTTAGATGATGAGGGATGGATCTTTCCAATCACGTACATCGCCCAACCCATGTAAGGCTAGGGCTTGACGATTGAATAGAGCTCCTCCACAGGGATTCGTCGAAGTGGTCCATGGCGTTGACACGCTGGACCTCCGCGTGCATAATCTATGCAATCTTGTGATATTTGCGGCCAAAAATAGCTGTAGCAAAGTATCGTCCATCTCATCGTGGGTCCAGCCCTATGTGCACCTCCAATGCCTTCGTGGACTTCTGCCATGGCCTTCAGGGCTTCCTTTTGCCCTAGACAGCGCGCCAGTTTCGTCGATATAGCTTCCCATTAATTTGAGTGTATTTTATGAGTTGATATCGTTCGGATTTTGAAATGGCCTTCCCGGGGTCTGCTAGCCCTTCCAGCAAGGGGGTTCACCAATCCGAATCTGGTGCGGTGACCTGTGAACATTCAAATTCTCAAGGCATGTGTCCCTTTTTTGAAACCGGAAGCCCACTGTGCCAAGTCGTTTGCCTCCACATTCTCGTCTCGGCGTATATCTTCTAAAACCGCGTCCGTAAGCTGCTGTAGGAGACTGTGAACTTTATGGAGAAGAATCTGAAGCTGTGGATCTCTACACTTTAATTCTTTAAGGGCCTGTCGGATAACTAATTGGGAATCCCCATGGATAACGACCTTCCTGACCTTTCAGGCCACGATGAAATGTAAAGCCAAAAGTAACGTTTCATACTCGGCTTGGTTATTCGTGACGCCTTGCGGAAGTTGATGCGCGAAGCGCCATACCTCTCCTTCTGGGCTATGAATTATTACGCCTGCTCCGGCTGCCCCTGTGGTACTAGATCCGTCGAAAGCTACCATCCAGGGTTCTAGCCCTACATAATATATGGATGTAGCCTGAACCATCCCCGGATGTTTGGCTAAAAAATGGGCAATGGCCTGTCCTTTGACGGCCTTGAGAGGTTGATACGTTAATGAAAATGATGCTAACTTTAGTGCCCATTTAAGCAAACGACCTCGAAGGACTGGCCTATTTAGTAAATAGAGGAGGAGATCAACTTTACAGATAACCCTACTTTCAACTGGCAGAAGGTAATATTCTAATTTTGTACTGGCATTATATAAGGATAAAAAAAGTTTTTCAACACCTGAATAACGAGTTTTGGCCTCATTTAAGGTCTTACTAAGATAATAAACAATGCGTTCTCGACCTTCGTTATCGTCCTGGGCCAAAAGACAGCTTTTTGTATCGTCTGTCGCGGCTATATACAGTTTCAGCTCATTTCCAAGGATCGGCGGCATTAACACTGGCAGAGATGTTAGCACTTGCTTGATCTGGTCTAGGGCTTCCTGCTGGGCATCTCCCCATTCGAATGTGTCTTTCTTCCCGCACAATAACATAGAGAAAGCCTTCATTCTCACAGCCGCATTGGCAATGAATCTTCTTAAGAAATTGATCTTTCCCATCATACTTTGCAGTTCCCTGATGTTGCGGGGAGGTCCGAGGTCTTGGACAGCCTTAGCCTTGTTTTTATCAACCCTGATACCCCTATGATGCACCAAGAACCTTAAAAAATTTCCTGCCTGTACTCCGAAGGCGCATTTTTCCGGGTTCATCTTAAGGTCATGCTGCCTCATCCGTGTGAATGCTTTGCGAAGGTCTAATAGGTGGTGGTCGAAGGCTCGGGATTTCACGACCACATCATCTATGTATACTTCCATTCTAGCGCCGATCAGATCATAAAAATTGCATTCATCGCTCTCTGGTAGGTCGCTCCAGCATTCTTCAAGCCGAAAGGCATAACTATCCATTCGAAGATTCCGATTGCTCCGGGGCAACGGAAGGCCGTTTAATTGGTATCCTCTTCGGCTAGATATATTTCATTATATCCTGAGTATCTGTCTATGAAGGATAGGATTTCGTATCCCGCCGTGGAATCTACGAGTATGTCGGCGATTGGCATCATATATTCATCTTTTGGAGTCGCTAGGTTGAGATTTTGGAAGTCGATGCAAATGCGGATCTTCCCATTCTTCTTCGGTACGGGAACGATATTGGGGATCCACTCTGGATACCTGCACGTTCGAATGAAATTAGCTTTAAGAAGCTTTTCGACCACCTGTTTTACCTTCGGCAGTAATTCTGGGTTGAAACGCCTAGGGGGCTGCTTATGCGGTCGGCACGAAGCCTTAATGGGCAGTCGGTGCTCCACCAGACTTCTTGATAACCCTGGCATCTCATGGTAGTCCCATGCGAAGCAGTCTCTGAATTCGCGGATCAGAGTAACCATTCGTTCTTTTGCATTGCCGTCTAGTAGGGCGCTGATCCGCATCATCCGAGGCGCTGAATCGCTCCCTAGGTTAACCTCTTCCAGAGGATCTTGAGCTTCGAAAGGTGGAACAGCTCTCTGGATTGGCAGCTGAACGTCTTTTTCATTCTGATCGTGTCCAGACGGTCCGGGAGCCGTTACTGCCTGTTCGTTGGGTAATGGGACGGCAAGGTCGCCTTCTTGTATGAATGGACAACCCGACCTGCCTGCCCTTGCCTCCCAATCTCGTACAATTAGGTCATTAGACATGACAACTGTCTGCACCGTCAGGCCGTTCGTCGGCCTCTATTATGATTTCGAACCCTTTTATGGTTAAGTTACACTCCTTCCATATTCCTGCATCCTCCAGCATCATAGATAGCAGGTAACTTCAGGAGAATAAGATATGGCTTCCGTGGAATGTACTTCGATGATAGGATCAGTTTTGGCTTCTACCGTCTCGACTTGATTCCCATTCCAGAACATGACCTTCTGGTGGAGGGTTGACGGCACGCATTGAGTGGTATGAATCCAATCCCTCCCAAGAAGAGCCGAGTAGGTTGGTTGGCCTTCCTTCGACGAAAAAGAAGGCCATCTGATCCGTCCTAGTTCCGACCGTCACTTTTGCCACTAAAACGCCTGCGGCTGTATGTGCATTCCCAGGGAAGTCGGTCGTCCGCAAGGATGTTGGACTAGATCATTTCTATTTTTCCCTATTTTCCTCAAAGTAGACAGGGTCATGATGTTGACTGATGCTCCCCCATCGACCAGGACTTTGCTAACTATTTTTCCATCAAGATGAATAGTAAGGAACAACGGCTTAAGGTGACGTGTATTCTCGTTGGAAAATTTCTGGAAAATCACTAGGTCCGGGATTTTTTCCGGAATGTTCAGCTCTTGTTCTGCTCAATACAACGGGCCGGTCTCTTCTAGTAAGATATCCCCCTGGAGAAAATCAGGTTGGGATGAAGGCGCTTCAAATTCCAGAGGCAATACGCCCACTGTCCTAACCTTGAGATTACCCTCATGTTGTTCAAGGTCTTCATCATCGGCGATAATATCTAAAGTGACCTCCGAGGCCTTGTCGTATGTGAGGGCGTCGATCTTGGGTTCATCTTCAGGGATCTAATTCTCCCTGAGCGTCACCGTAAAATTCGTCTCATTGGGAAATTCGACCCTTGAGAAAACTCCTTTCGGTCTCCATTCCCTCCGAGCCTGGATGTGATGGCACAAGTCCTGATGGTCAGGATTCGATCTTTTGGTGTTACCCCTTCCAGATTTTTGGTGCTGCTGCTGGTTAGCTTCACTTGCATGATAAGCAACTTGCTGCCCCCCAGCCTGCTGCTCAAGGCCAGCGGCCAGGCGTTGTCGTTGTGCCCTTCGATTTTGAGTCCTGGTAGGGAGTTGGTTTGACCGTTCCTTCTGATTTCTTACCCAGCTTCCGTCGTCTAGAGCCTTTCCAGGGTGTCGAGTTTGGTGGGGTGTAAATACTACTTGATCCACGGATGTTACTCGCCAAACTTCCCCTCATTTTTCAAAACTTACCTCTGCGACCATATTTTTGGGGGAAAGTCTATCCCACACCGAACTTCTTCTCGGATGTTTGATCACCCTTCCAAGCCTTTCAAACACTGGTTTTTTAAGACTTGTTCCCCTACCGCCTACTCCAAACCCCAATCTAGACTTTCTTGACCTGGCTGGACGTATTCCGACAATGTTTATCGGTGTGGAAAACGGCTCTATGTCTATTTTCATGTATGGTTTTTCGGCCAGCTTAAAGCGGCTTTCTTTGATTGCCTCTTCTTGAGTGAAAACACAATGATTTGCACCTCAAAACTTCTGATTTCGAACCGCCTGGGCCTCCTTTACGAGTTTTTCAGCCTTTATGGCCTTGGAAGTCAACTGCCGGAAATCATGATACTCCTGGAGAGTGAGTTTATCCTGTAACTGATGAGTCATGTTATCAATAGACATATTTACCACCTGATTCTCTGGTATACGGACTTGGCACCTAGTTTTCAACCTTCTGAAGCGCTCCAGAAATTGTTCAACGGATTCGTCTCCCCGTTGTCGTAAGTTGGTCAAGTCCGAGACGGTTACTTCTGGGAGCAGACTGTAAAATCGCTCGTGGAAGGCTCTTTTCATATCCGCCCAAGTGCGAATAGAATTCGGAGGTAACGAGGTATACCAGGAAAATGCTGGTCCTGTAAGGGATAAAGAGAAGAGTTGGAGTTTGTACCAGTCGTTATTTCCGTACTCTCCTCCGCATTGAGCTGTAAATCGGCTAATGTGCTCGATCGTAGAGCGGGCATCTTCCCCCGAGAATAATGCAAACTCGGGGATTCGAGTGTTGCGGGGTAACGGATGATCCAAAGGGATATATCCTGGAAAAGGGCGCTGGTAATGAGGCCTGGCCGGTAAACTTTTAGGATCTCCATAAATCCTTCGAATAGCATCTTCGATTGCCTGAGGATTCAGGAGCTGTGGCATCACTTCCACCTGCCCCCAGGCTGTTCCGGAGGTGCTTGGATGGGTGGCGGATTCCGGATCACCGGCTGCGGAGGAGTCTGGAGGATTGGTTCCCGTGGTGGTAGGTGAAATCTAGGGGCTTCCGCATTTTCCCTAACTGCTGGTGCCTCCTGTGCCGGAAAATATCCAGGGGTTGCTTGGGCAGCAAATTCAAAATTTTGCTGAGGTCCGAAACCGGCAGCGAATGGCCCTTCTGCGGTGTTGGCCTGCCCCCTAGCGCCATGGGGTGCAGCCGAGGTAGTACCTCCTAATCCCCAGGCTGTCCCTGAAGAGGGCAGGGCGAACGAAGGTGCTGGGGTTGCAGATGGCCCTGTCCCCCAAGAGTTGCCGGTTCCCTGTCCAACCGTTGAATATCCCTGAGGGGTTGGAACGGGAGGTGGCATGTCGAAAAACCCGGGTGCCAACTCGGGGCGGACGGTACTGACCTGAAAGTCATGCCAAACCCCCCTGCTTTGGACGGCCCTGCCAGAGTTTGCCCTGTCACTGTGCTGGATTCTCCGAGCCTTCGGACAGTAGCCGGAGGTTCCCCAGACCCGTTCTTACCAAGGATCGTGATATGACCATAACTGAGCGCCTGAGACGTTATCCTAGAATTAGTCGAGATGACGGGATTTGGCCATGACTCGGGCGGATTGGAACCGATCATGGGAGCCTTGCCTTTTCGAAGTTCCTCTTCCCGGAGCAGCGCGAATTCCGTTCGTATGGCAGGCTTGAGCACATTTGTGATGTATCTGGACATTCCCAGAGCAGATTCGTTGAGAGAAGATCGAATTTCCCCGCGAATTTGTTCACGGAGCACACTGGCCGGGAGGCTGATGATAGGATCAGGTCCTCCGACCGTGGCGGAGGTTGCATCCAGTGGGGCTGCCTCTTGCGCGGGATGGGATGACGAATTGCCGACTGTTTTCTTATTCTTTGACATCTCTATAACTGTCGGCGGTGTTAGTTTCCTTTTTGAAGTTGCATGCAAAAAGTCGCGAGACGTCGGTGTCCCACCAGGCGTGCCAATCTGTTGTCGTAAAAAAATCGCCACCGACGGCTTAATCGGAAAAACTTGTCGGAATCGATTTAATTGTAGGGTTCCCCGGCCTCCTCAAGAAAGGATCCGAGCTATCTCGTGATAACCGAAAAATTAACGAAGAAAGAAGGTAAAATTGGAATGAACGCCGGAAAAATTAAATTGGAATTAACGGAAGAAAACTGTAGAAGTCTGAAAAAATAATGCAGGAAATTAAAATTGCTGAAAAAAATTAATGCAGAAGAAGATGAATCAATGAATGGCCGTCTTCCCACCTCCTTTTCCTTTATTCCCCTAATCTTGTTCGGATAAGGCTCTTATCCCTCATTTTTCTCCAACCTCCCCAACCTCTTCTTAATTTCAAATTATGCTCGTTTCTCCGTTGACCACGTATTTTACTGATCTGGGCCTTCTTATGGGCCATATCCCCCAAGGACTGGGCTCTCACTTGGACTGGCTCGATTAAATTTTGGAGTGTACTTATATATTTATAAATATATTCTTTAATTTATGTATTTCAAATCATCTGGTTAAGTTTATTTTATACAATATATGTTTATTTTTTATAAAAAATTTTTTTGTCATTTTATACATATTAATTTTATTTTACTTTTTTTGTTTCGATTTTATCTACTATCAATATTCATATACATAAAAAAAAAAATTAAATTGTTATTATAGTAATATTAAAAAATTTATATATTTATATTACATTCATACACATCACGTAATTTATATATATATATATTATTTATGAGATTATAAAACTAAATATATATATACATAATTTGAATGATAAAAAGAGGGAAGAACTTATTTAATATAATTTGTAGTTTTTCAAAACAAAAAGACTACATCATAAATTAATGTTAAAATAATAAGAATGAAAGTACAAATAAGCCTTACTTTTTAAATATATTTCATGTCACTTACATAAAAATGATGTGACAACAAAGTAGAAACAATTGTAATAAAACAAATGAGTAACAAAAAACTATTGTTGTTATGATATCCTAACACAATATTAAATCTAATAATTATGTAACTGAAATGTTCAAGAAATTCCTTGCCAATAAACAGAACCAAGTTGTTAAAATATGGTCTTAACTATATATCTAATTTTTTTTTTAGAAAACTGGGTTATTCTTGAGTTTTGATGAGCTCCGGACAAAAATAAAAAATTAATCCTTATTTATGGTCCGTTTGGATTAGCTTGTAGAAACCCAAAGCAGAAGTTGTTTTAAAAATATTGTTTGGAAGTTATAAAATTGAAAGTACTTTTAATATAATTATATTTTTTTATATAATCTTTATAATTTATTTTAAAATTTATTACTATATATAAACTAAAAAATAAAATTTTCAATGATAGTTTATTAATATTTTTATAATTTATTATAAAATTTTATAGATTATAGTATGCAATAATTTTAAGTTTTCAGTAAATTTATATTTTTAAATTTTGTATTTAAATTCTAATATAAGTATAATATATAAAATAAAAATACAATTATATCTTTAAATTTGAATTAAGATATAAAATAATTATTTTTATATTATTATTTTTATTATTATTATTAGATATAGATATATGTGTGTTTACTTGGTGGTATTTGGTTTTTTGTTTTTACTATTTCAAACATTTTTTATCAAAAAAAATATCAAATCAAACAATTATTTTATATTTATTATATTACACTAAAATTAAATTTTACATTCAAAATATCATATCAATACATATTAATATCACATCAAATAACTATTTCAATTCAAAATTTTATTATATAAAATCAAAATCCAAAACCAAAATCTTACAAGTAAAAAAAAGGCTTCTTTATTTCAATTTGTTTTTTTTAAAGTATTTCTATAAAAGAAAAAAAAAACTTTTCAATTAAATGTTGCTACTACTTTTGGACGGAAGCCAAAAAAAATAAAAATAAAAACAATTTTCTTTTTCTAAAGAGTAGAAATCAAAAGTTCTGACCAAAACTAGTCCAAACAAATCCTTAATTTTTATATATAATTAATTAAAATATTTAATTTTTTTATGTTCGTTTGGTATTATTATCAATTAAAAAAAAAAAAAAAACTGTTTTGCTTTATAAAAATGTCATATGAAAATATATTTAAATAAAAGTACTCAAATTTAAATGCACCAAAGAAATTTTAATATATATAATAATATTATACATATATTTATAAATTTACTTTTTATATAAATATGTTTTTTTTTAAAAAAAAATGAGCCTCAAAGGTCCAAAATTTTGAGTCCTTGGGCGTGGGCTCAGGTAACCCATGCCCACCGTCCGGTTGACAAGACATTTGACATGGGATGAGGCCGGATTCTCGATTATATATCTAATTTTCTAAGCTTAACTTCCTCCAAACAAACATCACATCAGCAGTTTCAAGCCATTAGAAACATAATTCGACTAATCAACAACTAATCTCCTGAATACTCATAGCTCACAAAGAAGAAGACTCATTGGAAAGATTGACAAAGTGAGCTGTTGTAACTAACAACAAAATAAAAAAAAAAAAAAAAAAACCCTAAAAACCAATGAAAGAAGAATGCATGAAGAATATGAACACTCATAATAGAATCGAATTTTACTTACACAACGAATGAAAGAGACAAGAATTATATATAGATGTGGGGCACGGTTAATACAATACCATCCAAGTTACAGGGGTTTGGGTTGCAAGTGGGGCAATTGGTCACGGATCAGGTTGGGCAAAAAATATCAACAATTTTCATACAAAGATCACACCCAACAGATGAAACAGAAAATCCTAACCGTGGAACAAGGTATTTGCGTAGCGGCACATAACTGGACAAAGTATGTGCTCGAGATTCTCAATCGCACTTTTTAGTGTGTGCGGGAAGGGAGCGAGACCAAGTTGAGCAAAGAGGACAGAGGGAAGGGGGATTTAATCAATACCTCTATCCTCTTTGTGTGCTTTGCTCTGAAAGGAGGACCTGGAAACGGCCCACCATTTGTTCATCCATTCCTCCTTCTCGACAAAAGTTTGGACAGAAATTTTCAAATAGCTTTAGGCACCAAGGGAGATGGACTCGATTGAGGAAACAGCAGACTGGAAAAACAACCGGCTCGCAAATCATGCGACAAATTGGCTTTTCTGCGACTCCTTATTATATTTGGACAGCTCGTAACAAAGCAGTGTTGGAAAATTTTGCTTTGGATCCAACTATTTCTGTGACTAAAATTAAAATATGCTGTTATCTAATTTTGTACTCCTTAACATGAGGTGCAATCAAACAAAGAACGCCTTAAAGTTTGGAGACAACACTAGCATATCCTTGTCCACGATGGGAGCCACTCTCGGGGACATCTACCTGATGAATTGGACGAACGAAGCTGGAAATTTTGAAATTCATGCTGCTGCTCATAGCCAACCATTGACAGCCTCACTTTTTGGCATGTTTGTGGATATATATATCTTTACTTTCTTTTACCGCTTTGATCAGACTAAACAATTAGACGACACTAATTGAGGTTGTCACCTTTTAGTTCATTAAAACATTATTGTGATCATCCTGGGTATGCCCGGTGTATTTGTTCTTTATTTTTTCAGTATTAATATGCACTTTGATTTATCGAATCAAAAAAAAAAAAAAAAGTTACATCCAACAATTTTGTTCAAATAAAAGTTCCGCAGTCCCCACCCATGAATACAAAACCAAATTGTTGGAATGTTGCCTCAACTGTGTGTACCTACCTACGGGAGAGACTTTTAATTTGGGGCAAGGCCGGATATGGCGTCTTCCCAAACCCCTTCCTTGTTGACTGTCTTCGGTGCTGCTTTGACCACCACTGAAGTTTCCACCACTGTCGAAGCTATCATTTTTTATGGGGTACTTGTATTTCTAGCTGCAGTTGCTCTGCTACTTTGTATGGAAGCAATACAAATTTATGGATATGTTTTTTTTTTTTTATCATATCTAAGTGAAATGCTTATTTCCGACTGTTGAACTATTGCTATATATATGTGGATTTGCACTTATCAATAACTTAGTTAAACTGTAATTTAACTCACAGACATCCTAGAGTTAATATATATAAACAACTATTCAATGTTGATGTCAGCTAGAGCATGGTATTGAATGACGACAACATGCGTCATTCATTGCATGCCATTGAAGGAAATAATCAACATTAATCCCCACGAAGGGAAAAGCATTTAATTAAGAGCAGGAGATGACAAAATGAGAAACTATCTAATCTATATAATGTAGCCAATCATTTATAATAGAATCGTATGTATCACGAGGTTTTGAGAAAAGAATTTGTTATCCAAATTCAAACAACCAATAATAATGTACACACATCCACTCAACATATAATACGGTTTACGAAATCTAAGGCATCCATTCAAAAGACAGGAACACTCTAGTACTGCTCTAAAAGGTTCAATAATATATAAAAATCATAGGATTGAATACTATTAGCATAATGCATTTAACCAAAACCTTTCTTCATATACATATCCATATAAAAACACTTGCAAAAATCAACCTATAACTTCATAAAATTTAAATACACACTATAAGCATAATATATATACCAATTAAACAAGAAAGTTGAAAGAGATCAAATGATTCTTCACAGACGAAAATATATATAGTTAGAAACAATAAATCAAATCCATTCTTGCAAGTGTGAATCAATTTGAAGATCACTATGCCCCTTTACATAATTGGTGTGCTTTGGACAAACAAAATACTTACAATCAGTAGACTGACCATAAAAAATAAAAAACAAACAATGAACATGATCCAACAAAATAACGACTTGTTTCCTAGTAGCTAAGAAAATCCCTCAAGAACAGATTTATCTTCCGTCCTGGCATGTTATGCTTTTTTTTTTTCCGTCATCGGATGA